TGTGTGTGCGGCAGTCCACAGCACCTAGCACAGCAGATAATGCAGCAGAGGATAGCCTCATGTTTAGTTTTTGTAGTTAGGACATTTTTCTGAAGGCTTGCTCTGAAGCAAGGACTTCACTAGAAACTGTATCAGACCTATGTAACTCACCTTTAAAGGCTAGTCTTAGAATTACTGGATATAAAACCTGAATTAAGTCTTGCCCTTCACAGAGGCTTTTTTTTTTTTTTTGTGGTTTTGTTTTGCTTAATCTCTTGAGATGCTGTTGATTTAAAAAATTTGGCTGGCTTTATTTTGTCATGCTGATTGGGATCAAATACTATTTGACCTTTCTGTGTCTGCGATGAAGTAGAGCTTTAGACTTTAATAGTACACCTCTGTTTAGATGTACAGCAAAAGACGTGTTAATTTATTCTTTTTCCACCACTTCACTCCGCTGTGTTCACCACTTCACTCCATCAGCAGAACACAGTGGGAGCTCTAGGCTGAACTGCTGTAAATCCAGTGGCTCACCTGAAAACAAGTGTATCTGCTCTCAGCACCTTTGTGAGGGTAGAAGTTAACATTTCGTGTTTTCAGGCCTGCAGTAAATGCTGCTTTCAGGCCCAACATTCCATGGCCCAATTGCTTGAAATTGTCTTCTGCCTTGAATACTTTCTGTGTTATCAGTAGGAGCCTGCTTGGCAGACAGATCCACAAATGGAGGACTGTCTGTGATTTGCCTCGAGTTTGTCACTGAAATTCTTTCTCAGAAGCTTATGTCAAATGACAGCCTTTTTCTCAGGATAGGGTCATCTAGTGTTTCCTCAGTGTAGTTATTCTTTATTTTTGGTTCCTGATCTTTCTCTCATAATGGAAAATCTGGAACAGGTGGCCACAGGCACACCAGACTTTCACGCTTGGGAACAGAAAGGACCATATGCTGTATGAGCATGTATGGAGATAGTGAGTTGCAGGAATAGGCAACCAGCTTATACGTAAATTAAGAGCTGGCCTTAATTTCCCATTCAAACTTGGATAAACTAAAACTTTGTCCATTCTCAGCTATGCTCAGCTGTTTTTCTGTTCTGCTGTCTATTAGCTGGTTTTAGCTGGAAGTGATTTTTTTTTCAGTTTAACAAGAATGTGCTGGCATTTTTACCAGAAACCCTGGGTAAGATCTGGGACCCTTGAAGTCAGTTGGACTTTGGCTGCATTAAAGCCAATGGCAAAATATCACTGCACGAGAAACATTTTCTTAGTTCTGGATAGTGTATGTCAGAAAACAACAGGCATCTTCATGTGTGGTTGTTTTTTTTTTGTTTGTCTGGGGTTTTTTGGTTTGTTTTGTGAAACTTTGAACCACGTTTTCTTGCTCTAAAAGTGGTAATTTTTCCTCCAGAAGACAGGATGATGCTTATCCAGCATAAGCCTTCTCTTTAATACTGCCATATTAGTGGTGATCTGCTATTTACCTTTTGTTTCCTTTTGTTAGGCAACTTGCAGTAAGAGTTTAATTTCACTTTGGAAGAGCATGATTGTGAATACATGAAATAACTAAAATAATGTTGGTTTAAGCTGAATTCAGGCTATGCTGTACAGCATTAGTTACCCATAGCTTGTACCATTCATCCTTCAACCACAAACTTGGGTCTGTTATCTAGGCTGGTATCAGGTGCTATGACTTTGGATTTCACTGTTCCCCAGAATGAAAAGCTGACTTTTAATTCTGTACTCTGAGTCTTGGCCAAGATGAGATTTCTTGTGTTTGTTTTGCTGTTTTTCACAAGCTGCAAAATCTTAGTCTCAAGTTTTTAATGAAAGAAAAAGGTGGAATGAATGAATATATGAAAGTATTTGAAATCTGAACATAGGGAAGAAATAACATTGTATTTGGTCAGAAAATATGCTTTAAAATATATATTGCAGGTACTGTCGGTTGCTTAAATATATGCCAGAATTGGAAAAAAAAGTAGAAGTGAAACTGGTTTGGCCTAGGTTAGTTATCAGAAACCTAACCTGTTTTTTTAGATTGCCGCTTTTTTTTTTTTAATTCTGTTTTATTCCCTTCCACCCCATAATGGTGGGACAGATTAATTTAGCAGTTGATCATTCTGCATGTTTTACCACTCACACAAGCACAGTCAGAAATGCTATGAGAAAATTACTTTTAAGGTCAGAACAAGCAAAACAGAATTTATGTGCCAGCAGGGTATTTGAGGGAGCTAGGTGGATAAAAAAAACATTGTTAAAGGATGTATACAATGGAAAGGATGCATATGCGTTGCATACAAGGAAGACTTCTTGAGTCACTTCACCTCACTGTAGTCTCTTACTTAAAGAGACTTGAAGTGGAAAATGAATTAGATTCTTAGGCTGTGGAAGGGGGAACATTCCTGTGCAGAGAAGCGACTCTGGAGATAAGTTTTAATTTCCTGAGCTTCAGTGTCTATACAGGAACATTGAAAGACTTCCTTCCTGATAACCAAGTCAAGCCAGGGGCTATATTAAGTTATGTGTTTCTGTATATAATTGCGTGCTTTTAGATGTATTTGCATACTTGCAGTATAAATGCAAATAGTGTACCTATAGTGATAGAAGTCAACTTTTAAACGTGTTGCATGTATTCAAGATCTGGCACATACACTGCACCTGAGATGTCGTAATATATCAATATCTATTTAGACTTCAAAAAAAAAGGAACCCCTTTCATGCCTTGTCACTACATAAAAAACAGAACTTAACAAAAAAATCAAAATGAAAAAAACACCCTCCCCACCACTTGTCTTGCATTTTTAAGAGGACCTGGGTTGTAGTGCAGCTTTAGGAATGATCAAGTCCCTGAGGTAGATGTCTTACAGATTTCTAATGCATTTATCTCCTGTAGTGCAATGTTGTAATAACCATTTTTGTCTTACTAAGGTCTCATAATTCTGTGATAATTTTGGCAAAACCATGAAGCTGACTATGAGTGATATTTTATTAAGTATTTCCAGAACAAATATTAGGACACTTTCTTTGTTTACAGAAGATATGAAGCATTTACAAAAAGTATAGGTCACCCCAAAGTCTGCTCTTGCAAAAATTAGTTTCAGAGCGTCAAACTGTGTTTCCTTTTAGCTATTAGTTTCTAGTAATTTTTTTTATTTGCTGTTTCCATCTTTGCTTCTTTATATTTAAAAAGTGAATTCCACAGTTTTTCTTCATGTATTAAAGGGTTTGGGGATAAAACCGTGTGTCTGAATAAGTAATACTGTGCTAAGCAGAGCCATGGTATAACTTGCTTTCTGAAACACAGATTTACTTGAATTCAAGACCATCATCCAGATAACCCAAACTGAAAAATAATATTACTTACATCCCTCATTGCAGTTTGTGTAACAGCATCAGAATGAAAGGTGTTACTGAGCTGTTCTGTGTTTATTGGTTAGACTATTGCAATGTCAGATACATTGCTTAATTTCCATGAGCTTCTAGTATTAGAGGTTTTAGTTCCACTTGTCAATAGCTCGTTCTTACAATTATTTTTTTTCATAACCATTCATAATTAAGAATTAACCCCAGAGTATATGTTTTGTGTCACTTTGAGATAATTTTTACCAGCTTATATGATTTTAGAAAGCACCAAATGTAAATATATTGATGGTGTGCGAGATTGGAAAACAACTTTCAATTATTTCTAAATTGGACAAGCCTATTTATTGTATTAATGGAATTTTATAGACTGCAGTTGCTTAACTTTTCTTTAGAACAACTTTGGAAAAAGGGAAAAAAGCCATAAACTTAAAGAGATTCTGATGGTGCTAAAGCATTGCCAAGCAAACCATAAAAGATAACTCAAACTGTAATTCTATAGAAAAGCTATGAAATGCTTCTACATATGTGCTGTACTTGGTTTTGCATTCCTGAAGCTGCTTGTGTGTAAAGTCAGCTGTGGAAGTGGCTAGCTAGCTAAAAGCTATGATTCCTGCAGCTTGACTGTTTTGGGGAGATAAAGTGGAACATCTGAAAAATATGTTCCATGCAAAATGGATCTTCATACACATTTATTTTGACATTTAGGTTTGATTTGAGAGAAAGAGAGAGAAGACTCTGAAATAGCTATTCACAGATGGGTTGTGCGGGTTTTATTTTTTATATGCTTCTCTATGCTTTTCGTTTGGATTGGATTTTTTTGCATGTGTTTGCAGACTTGTCAATCCCCATTTTTCCCCAGATCACATGTTTAATTTTTAAGACTTGAATTTTTGTCCTTTTTTCCAGAATCTAACATTTAATAAATAAATAAGTGCATGAATTTTAAAAACCAACAAAAACACCAAGCCACTCCAACCCCAAAACAACAAAAAACAACTCCAAGCCAACCAACCAAAAAAAATCCACATTGATGTCATTGCCCCCCTCAAGACCCTACGGTATAGCTTCCTGTGATTAAAATATTCTTGGGAGTGAGTGGGAATTAATGTATTTTGTGGACTTCAGTCACACAGTGGAACATTTTTCAGGAAGCACCAAATTCTCCTGTCTTTTTACACTTTTGGCAATGAATAGATGTGAGGAGTCTAGAGGGCCATGTGCTCTCAATTGTGGGAGTGCAGCTGGCAAAACATGGTATATGTTCAGCTGGATGGGTGAAATGCAGACCTTGTGTATCTAGGTAGCCTTCTGCAGGACTGAACTTGACCTCTGTAGCCTTTACTGATGGGAATATCCTTTGCAGGTGGAAGTCAGGAGTCAGTTGTTAGAGCCCGTTTTCTTTTGAAGGTACTGGGGGAAAGCCATTGACCTAAAACTACAGTTGTGAAATTAGTGTAAGAAACAGGTCCATCTGTTTGTAAGGAGTAAAAAGTCTTGAGTGGCAGTGTTACGCTCTTCTTTGTGAAATGTCAGTGCAAAATATCCCAACGGCTATTATGAAATGAATATTCGATGAATTCAGTTATTTTTCTTTAAGGAAACCAGATGTTGAGCTTGCACCAAGTGCCATCAGTGATACATCTCTTGTTTGTTTTTAATCCCAGAAAAAGTTAGCTGTATACAACAAGATGCAGGAGTCTCTGGAAGTGACCCTTCCCAGCAAGCAAGAGGAGGATGAGAAAGACCAGCCTGCTGAGATGGAGTACCTTAACTCTCGCTGCGTCCTTTTCACTTACTTCCAGGGAGACATTGGCTCAGTAGTGGATGAACACTTCTCAAGAGCTTTGAGCCAAGCCAGTAGCTTCAATCCAGAAACTGCCCTTACCAAGAGCAAGGCAGGACTAAGTCCTCTGTGGAGAGGTAAGAGGAACAGTAAATTGTTCTCTGTTTTGTGGCTTAGCCTGTGTTGTGGTAATGCATATGGCGTTGCAGCTGAAATCTTACTCTTTTGTGGAGGTGGAAAAATTCCCCTCAAATTTGAAAGAACCAAGTTGGTTCTTGGGGTTGAGTGATCTCAAGTGTGAAAGTGGGCAAGAGGCACCAAAGGCATGGAAGAAGCAAGCATCTCCCTCTCTTGCTGTAGCCTGAAGCTCTGTCTAGGCCTGGAAAGAACGGGATAGAGCTCAAATGGCCTTGCAAACATCTGCTGCAAAGTTGAAGACTTATTTTTAAACTCTTAAGTGTGAAACTTGGCCTGTGAGGCATGAGCAAAGCTGTCTTGGGGTGCTGTCTTTGGATGTGAGGTGACCCAAACAGCCTTCTAGAGTGACTTTGCTAGGCAATCAAGATTCATCTGTGGCTGCTTTCCGGGCAAGACAGCACAGGTTGGAATAGGCTTGGAGGCAAGCCCTAGCCCATGTGGCTGTAGCCATGTGGTGCAGTGCATTGCAGCCTGCCCATGGGCAGAGCTGACAGGAGAGTTGTGGCCATTTTTATTGGCTTCCCCTGTGTAAAATGGGAATGACATTACTGTGCTTCTGATCAAGCAAGTAGCACATAGTAGGTGCTGTGAGGCATTTGCATACTGACATAGCACATCTTGTTATAAATATATAAGCAGTATGAATCTAAAAAAGCAGATCTTGCCATATATATTAGGTAGACCTGACAGATAGGATTTAAAAATTGGTGATTGGAGACAGTGTGCTGGTAAGATGTTATTTCTGTTTTGTTGAATGTAGCAGTCTGAGGAGTTTTTCAGATCCACAGCTGCGTTGTTTCTGATAATGTCTCTATGTGGTCTGGCAAAGGGGCATGAGCTAAGTATCGTGAGTGGTAGCCTTGCATCAAGTTGAGTGAAAGAGATACATACCATGAGGATACTTGTAGGAGTGGTGGTGTTCGTCGTAAGAGATGTTGAGATGAGAGCAAATTGATGAAAGCCACAGAAAATAGAGAGGGGGTTTTTGGAAACCCCTGTGAAGAGAAAAATAGCACAGAAGGACTTGCTTTCCAGAAGGATGATGACAAATTCGAGGAAGTTTAAGCAAAGGTCAGCACAAGTGGCTAGGGAGCTGGAGGAATTTATGGCTTGAGCCGGGACCATTAATGTTAATGGGAAATTTTCCGTTGACTCGGCTGAGAGCAGGATTGAACCTATGCTTACTAAAAAGGAGACTGGAGCATTTATAAATGGTCCAGACAGGTCTTAAATGTTTTAGAGACAGGATCAAGGCAGTCCCCAGAGACCCCATGCCTGTAGCATGCTCTCTTCACTGAGCTTGGAGACATACCATGGGTGGGGTTGTGTGTCTTCTCTTTGGCTTCAGACATACCCCGCTGTTTTTCCCTGGCTCTCCCTGTCATTGCACAACCCTCCCCAGAGGACTCTGCAGAGGACAGGGTGCCCTGGCATAAGGGTTCTTCAGCCATGCTGCCTCCTTACCCTGTGTGCCCTGTGCCACCAGCAAGGAACAGAGGTCTGCATGTCCTGAAAGTCTTCCAGGAATAAAGTAAGGGGATATGCCCTCTGCCGCCGCTGCACCTGCTGAATCGGCATGAAAATCCCTGGGGAGGCTTCTGGGCAGGGCTGCTTGGTTCTGCACTGTGGACGCTGAGAGAGCTGAGGGCATTTTCCTCTCCATAGAAGAGTAGCTGACAAGAGCTTTATCAGGCCCAAACGAGTTTCTGAAACATGCCTGCTTGAGAAAAAAGTGAAGCAAGGATGCCAGCATCTTGGGTGTTTTTGTTCATGTACAGTTGTCAAAAATGCTCAGTTGCAGCAAATGGGTGGAAATTTGTATCCCATTTACTAAAGAAGTTAAAATATCATTAGCTTCAAGGTCTTTATTTATAAATAACCTTTGTGGGCAGTTGAAATTTTTGTCAATAAATTACTCAGAGATACATTTAGGGGAAAAAAAAAAAAAGAGCTTTTGTGTTTTCAGTAGCTGTTTTAGAAGTTACAGATTTAAATGGCAAGCGTGTGGGCAAGAACTGGCTACTCAGCTCACTGTATTATTTCTCTCTTACCTGAAAGGAGGGATTAGTAATGTTTTCTGCTTTTTAAATTTTTTTTTTCATCTTGTTATGTTTTGTTGTTTTGGTTTTTTTTAGTGTCCTGATGGAAGAGCAAACTGTAATTTCATCATAAGGAGGAGTTTGTGGGGATTTTGTTTTGAGGAGGTATTTTGCTTATGTATAGAAAATAGAACCTGTTGTCCTGAAAAGAGCAAGTTTTCATCTTTCGTGTGTTGAAAATACTGATCAGTACAGGCTCAAATCAATATAAAAACTGACTTATTTTATAAAATACAGTTCCCTACAGCAAACCCCAGTAACATAGTCTTTATGTAGTCAATTGTAGATGTAGCTATCTGAATTCTTTTGCAGAGGCTATTGAAACTAATGATATCTTGAAACTAATGTAATGTATTTTTATCAACCTTTTTCTCCTAGCTGAGAGTGTTGGGTTTTTTGTTCTTTCTAGGATTTTGGTTTTGTGTTGTTGGGTTTTTTTCCCTTCTGGCTTAAATGAGAATTAATGTTGTACTATAGAAAATTCCATACATTGTCTTCTTCACAACATGTCCACTTTGGCGTATTTTCAGTCTGAGTTGGCCAGCCAGCATGCACATTTTTATTAGTCACTGCTTCGTGGTATCTGAAATGTTGCCATCCCTGTACTTAGAATAGGAAACTGTGGTAACTGTAGTATCTTTCTTGGCAGACAATTTTTGTTCAATGCCTCCTTAATCCCCCCTCCTGAAAGCCCGTGGAATCTACTCAGGTTTGTTGTTTTTTTCTTTCTCAAGGACAGTGCTAAAAGGGCTGCTTCTTCATTGTCATGTCCCATAGAGGCAAGGTATCTGACATGATGGTATCTGTAAAGATAATTGGTTGTGTTTTTGTTTTAAAGGTGGAAAGGAGACCCTTCAAGCACTGTGGAAATGTATCGTGGTTGGGGGGTTGTGGTTCAACACAGAGAAGGTTCTTGTTGATGGGGTTGCTGCACACTTAATATTTAGTAGTGTTCTGTGTGAGCACTCAGAGTGGATGAAGTTGTTTTGCACATTCATATAACCTGGATGGGTCCAATATTTCTATTGGCATGACTCAGCCTTGAGCAGTGAGCTTGGCCTCTGCAGTTACACTCAATGATGTCTCAGTTTCTGACAGTGGTAATGGCCTTGTGAAATTTGCACAGGTTTGAAAAATGGAGATGGGCAAACATTTTTCTGTGCTCTAGACCTTCTGCGTAATTGATAAAGCCAAACTGGCATGCAATCTGGCATGAATGTATAATGGCAAATTCGGTGGTTTAAACCGCTCTCTCCTGGTATCAGAGCTGGTCTTCAGATACTTTGTGGTTATCTGTGCTTTTTTGAACTGAGATAATTTAGGGGTTTTCCATGCAGATAACAGCCAGATAGTTTCCAAAACCAATAGATTGCAGAAGTTAATTTTCCAGAATACTGGCAATGCATTGTGAATCTGTGCTTCTCTGTTAAGCAGTGAAGAAAACAACAGACTGGACATGAAGAAGTCCTGCTGGCAACACTGTAAGCCATGTTCACTGTCCATCTCAGCCTAATCCCTTGTAACAAGGAATAGTTTACAAACAAGGAACAATACCATTTTCGCAGGGCTGCTGAGGCTTCTATATATGCTTGAATCTTTCTCCAGTCTTCTACTATGAATTACAATGGAAATGTGTTGCTAAAAAAAAAAGTGCTTTTAAGAAAGCCATGTTCAAGTACAGTTTGCCAGATAAGCTTGCAGCCTCTGAAGCAGTTTGGCAGAAAGAGCAGTTCTCTATGTTTGTCCATAATACATTTGCAGAGTTTAGTTTCAATATTGGAAGTTAAATCAGGCTCACTGAACCACTTAAATTAAAGAAAATTGATGTATGGAAAAATGTCTGTGATCTTAATGGATTTTAAAACAGATACAGGAGTTTCCTAGTGATGCTGTCAAAAAAACAATTTTTTTTTGTTTCCAAAATATTTTTGAGTAAGCAAAGTTCAGAGGCAGGAGCGTTTGAAGAATCTGTTCATTCTCAATGGTGTCTTCACCCGAGTCTCATTCCAGTTGCTTATTAAACAAAGCAAAACAAAAGGTCATTTTAAAAAAAATAATATAAATATTTTTGTAAATCTTATATGAGGAACAGAGGATTCCTATCCTCATCAAATATTAAACTTCCCTGGCTTTATTTCACCGTAGGCTATTTTTATGACTGTTTTTTTATCAGGGGTGAAGTCCCGTATTTTTATGTTTCCATCTTTGACCAAAAAAATAACAACCTATTTGAGCTGAGACATATTGCATGAAGCAGTACTTTCAAACACAAGCTGGCAAGAGGTTGGTGAGAATGGAGATGCCAATACTTTCCTACACATCTAAAGCACTAACCTGTCCTTCAAAAGAGGAATATTTAGAATGTAATTTCATAATGTAGAAGTATTGGAATTGATTTAAATATAAGTTGAGCCCTAGCTGTAAGAAGCAGTGAGTCTTTTATTTATGAGAAAAACTTTAAGTTACATAGATGTCTCTGCTTGTCTAATCCGCAAAGTTCAGAGGCAGGAGCGTTTGAAGAATCTGTTCATTCTCAATGGTGTCTTCACCCGAGTCTCATTCCAGTTGCTTATTAAACAAAGCAAAACAAAAGGTCATTTTAAAAAAAATAATATAAATATTTTTGTAAATCTTATATGAGGAACAGAGGATTCCTATCCTCATCAAATATTAAACTTCCCTGGCTTTATTTCACCGTAGGCTATTTTTATGACTGTTTTTTTATCAGGGGTGAAGTCCCGTATTTTTATGTTTCCATCTTTGACCAAAAAAATAACAACCTATTTGAGCTGAGACATATTGCATGAAGCAGTACTTTCAAACACAAGCTGGCAAGAGGTTGGTGAGAATGGAGATGCCAATACTTTCCTACACATCTAAAGCACTAACCTGTCCTTCAAAAGAGGAATATTTAGAATGTAATTTCATAATGTAGAAGTATTGGAATTGATTTAAATATAAGTTGAGCCCTAGCTGTAAGAAGCAGTGAGTCTTTTATTTATGAGAAAAACTTTAAGTTACATAGATGTCTCTGCTTGTCTAATCCTGTTGGGTACAGGGCAACACGGTATACTCTTCAAGAGACTAAAGTGTCAGATATGATCTTTATCCCATCAAAGCACACAATTAGTTTGAGAAGATCTGGCACTCTTCCATTAGCCAAATATCTCTTTATTCTGCAGTGTGTCCTGGTTCTCTGTGCTCAGAAGCATTTATAGCCACAACAGTTGCCTTTCTAAACTAAGTGTTCTGATCCAGTCAGGAGTTAGCCTCTCCTCTTAATTCAGGAACTAAGATCCTGAGAGAGCTGCAACTCTTTCAGGGAGGATCTTATCAATATTCATAAATACCTGATGAGAGATGGTGAAGATGGGTGAGCCAGGCTTTCTCAGCAATGCTTGCCAAGAGGACAAGAGGCAATAGGCAAGAATTAAAAAGCAGGAAATTCCATCTGCACGCAAGAAAACACATTTAAAATTTGTTGTGTGGTTTTGTTTTGGTTTTTTTAAAAAAATTTTTAAGGGTGGCTAAACATTGCAACAGGCTGCCCAGAGAGGTGGTGGAGTAAAGATCTCAGTCAGAATCTAACTGGACACAGTTCTGGACGACATGCTACAGATGAGCCTATTTGAGCAGGGGGTTGGACTAGGCAATGTCAAGAGGTCCCCTCCTACCTCAAATGTCCTGTGATTCTGTAATTGCTGAGGAAGTTCGAGTTCAGTGTTAAAAATTTCAAAGAACAGAAAACCATTGGGTTTTTTTTGTAATTACATTTGTTGTTCTGCTTCAGTCATACTTCATTTCTCTCCTCTCTACCAGAAAACTCAACAATTTCAAGCCAAAGGAGCAGTTTCCCAGCTTCATTTTGGACCACCTCTTACCAGCCTCCCCCTCCGCCATGCTTAAGTGGAGTACATCCTGATTTCCCTGTTACTGCACCAGGCACCTTCCCAACACCAGATCCCAGCAGCTGGCCAGGACATGGCCTTCATCAGACTGCCCCACCTCCTCCCCCTTCTGCATCTGAATCCTGGCATTATCCTTTAGCATCTCAGGTGAGCCCTTCGTATGCACACATGCATGACGTGTACATGCATCGCCATCACCCTCATCCACATATGCACCATCATCATCCCAGCTCGCACCGTGACCCCCGGTATGGGTCCCTGCTGATGCCTTCAGTCCGTGCAGCCAGGATTCCTGCTCCCCAGTGTGACGTGACAAAGACAGATCCCACCGCTGTTACCAGCGCTACCTCAGCATGGGCTGGAGCCTTTCACGGAACTGTGGACATTGTGCCAAGTTTTGGGTTTGAGACAGGTAAGATGATTCAATTGTGTCTGTGACATATTTTAGCAAGAAGAATTTGAGCAAAATAGTTAAATCCCTGCAGCTGAAGCAGGGTTTGTTCTCAGAGACTTCCCCAAACATATTTCCAGGTGGGAGTGGGAATCCCTGATGAAATTGCTGTCAGGGCAGATGAGCTGTGAAACATCCAACTCTTGCTGCCTTTTGCTGAGAGATCTTTGCCTGCCTTGGTCCCATTCAAGCCAAATGAGTTTTGACATGATAGGCATTTTTTTGTTTAAATCTTGTGGGAAATAGTTAATTAAACTTCCATGTGGAAGTTTCCAGCTTGTTCAGCTAGTTCATATATGCATTCACCAAAATATAGCTCCAATGAGGACTGAAGTAATAACTTGTCAGTATATGAGGATTGTATCTGAATTGGAACAGATCAGCATTTCCTTCCTGTGCAGTATCCAGGTGTCATGTAGAGAGTAGACATGCTTGTTGAGCTGTGCTTGCCATCAAAATAAGCTTCTTTCTGTAGGGTCTAGGCAGAGGTCTGTCAGTTAAATTCATTGTACTGCAGGGTCTGTAACCACAGGACAGCCTCCATAAACTACATCTGCATCTGTGAGCCTTGACTGGCAGGCTCTCATCTTAGTGTTGGGAGCTGTCTGGCAACCCTCACTATTTGTAGTTTCTTGTGATCTGGTGAGAGGTGACTGATGGTTTCCAGTACATCCATCCTGGAGCTCATACGAACATACTGAGGTCTCCTTTTTGTGCTTGGTGTTCATCTGATCAGCAGCAATCCTTCCAGATTAGTACTTCTTAAACACATTATGTTATTTATTAAGGAAATACTAGGTTTGCATCTCTCTTGCTTTTTCTTTAAGGTATCTGCTTATCTTCTTAATAGCTCTAGCTAACTGATTCAATGTGCAAGAAGCACTTCCTGGCTTTGATCAGTGTGCAAGGGAACAAAGAATTGGTGGAGAAAAAAACCCTGCTGTTCCTTAAATATGAAATAATATAAAACCAAGACCTGATTATAACTGAACTAACCTAGCACAAATCTCTTCCCTTAACAGTAACTGGGAACAAATAATCTCTTTTAAATACCATGTCACTTGCTACCTAACAAAATTAAGAAAAAGCATAATAGAATTCTTAGCACTGGATGGTTTTATATCTATTAGTAACATTTCCAGCCATGCCAAGTATACAAGAGGAATTACATTTTGTGCTTTTGAGTATAAAATGATATTCTGAGAGGATTGGAATGTTTGGATTTGCCTTTCTGACAAATTCCATGGTGGGGGTTAGCTGCCTTCTCTGAAGTGTTCACAAAGTGTCACTGCCAGTGGTAGAGGGGATGAGCCTCCTGGGCTGACTGTAGCCTCCACAGTCCACTCTGGAGCTCTAGTATTTGATTTAGGTTTTGGCGTTGGAGCTGAGGACTATGTAAGGGATTGTTAGTCAGGACTTAAACCTGGTTTATGTGTAAGTTCAGCCTAGACTGAGTTATTTCAGTGCTGAGAAGGTTGGTTTGCCTACTGCTGCTTTTTTGGTAGCAGTACCAGGTGCTTTTTCTCTCTTTTGTAGGAGCACAGTACCTCAAAAAGCACTATGGGTCCTCGCACTGCCTTACTGGACTAATAATAGCCTTAGCTTGGTGCTGCCTGTTCCTTGTGAAAATCCCTATGGAAGGATATAGTTAGATGCCAATTCTGTCAGGTTCCTTATTTGGCAGTGCTTAACTGTGGCTTGCATGTCTTGTAGTTGTCTACTCAGGGTGAGAGGCAGAGGAAAAGGCCTGAACACTTAATTTCTGGCCCATGCCAGATGTGTGGGTTTCAGTCCATGAAACAGTCTTTCCCCTGTGGGGGAAAAGAAAGAGGGGAAATGTGTGATGGGCTTGCAGGAACAGAGGGCCAATGTCTCTCTTGTTTGTGACTATTTAAAATGGCCATGAACTAAAACGCTACAGCAAAACCTTATCAAGCAGCCCTGGTTTGGCACATAAGGCTTTGGAAAGGAGGGAGCAAAAACCAAAACAAACACAGCAGGTAGTGGTAGCCTGTGACATTACAATTATTTGCTCTCTTACCCTGCACACTTGTCTCTCCTGTGTTTTCTAAGCAGAGGCTTGCTGGGAAGGGCAGAAAGGCTTTGAGCTGCCTTTTCAGCCTTGCTTGCAGCTTGTACATTTGAGACAAATGCTTTGAGGCAGTCATCATGGTGAAAAGAGGGAGCTTAATTGCATTAGTCTTTCACATGTGTCTGAAATGGTGTCATTGCGGGGAAGGTGTGTTGTGCTGCCAAGGAGTGGAGGGGAGCTGCTGAAGCACCACACCAAATTGTATCTCGCACTTGCCAGTACAAGTGAAGCTTTTCTTGCTCCGTGTCCACTCCAAGGGAGAATTATAATGGATAAGTCTTCTCATCACACAAAAATTCATTATATTTAACTCTAATGTGAGACAGCAAACTCAAAAGTTTGGCTAAAACTGGAAGAGCCTGTGGAAGAGTGTACTGGCTTTCTGCATTGTAGAAGTGGTTTCTGCAGAGTAGGGTGAGGCCACAGTGGCAGGAAAACTTCAGTTACACAAGTCGTTGCTCATATGTCCCTGGAGAATAAAAGACACCAACCTATTGAGCTGTCAAAATATCAAATTCCATGAGCTTCAGATGATTTATATTAAAATTCATTTGGTATATACCTAGTCGTTACTTTTCAGAGCCCCTCAGATATGAAAATTATTCCCTCTCTCTTACTCTGGATCACATTTCTTGTGCTACTGTCACATGCGATTATAGAAACATTTGCAAAATTCCTCACGCTGAATTATATGGAATGATAGTGTTGGGATCAGGACAGACTGGCTGTAATCTTACCCTCTTCCAGCTACATTGTTGCATCTCGGCCATACTAAGCCAAATACTTGATCTCATGAATGGATGATGCTGAGTCACTTCAAAGGTTAAGAGGGGATTCCTCTTGCATGCAGAGTATAGTTTGGGAATTTATGTTTCAGAACAGATTGTGTGGGACATCAGTATGTCACCATTCATAGAGCTAACAAAGTATTGATCTGTCTTATGTCTTACACATCTGTTTGAACTTACATGGTCCTATTTTAGAGGATGAAGAGGGATTTAGCTACCTGATTCCCATTAAATGTGGCTTAATCGTAACATTGTGTACTGAAAATTAACCCTTTTGGAAGCTTCTTTATTAGTATAAGTGGGATTGAAGAAAATGCTAGTCTGCATCAGAAATCTATTGCAAGATTTTATGTTTGTGGCTGCTGGTATGCAGTGTCTTCCCAAAGCTGAAGTTCCCAAACTAAAATGCTCAATAGAGAAGTACGTTTTATATCAAGCATTGATAGAAACACATTGATATAAGCACAACATGTTTGTGCTTTACACACTTCCCTGCCCCACTGATGTCAAGCAAAGCAATGTCAGCTCCTAACAGCAATGACTACATACATAGAGCATGGCTGCAGCCGTAATCCCACAGCATCAGGGCTAAATCCTTGTGTTTATGTTAAGGATGCACAAGCTGAGTTGAACAGTTAAGACCAGGAAGGTGGAGAGGGGAACTACTGTCTTGCAGTGGAGCTGATGGTTACAGATATCCGTGCTTTCCTCAGGATGCCCTGCACACCAGGCACTTCAGGTGGTCAGTGCGATCTGGCTGTGCTGGCAGCTGCCAGGTTTGCAAGCAGTCCCGTGGGGAGGAGAACAGAGTGACTTCCCTGCTACTGCAAAACCTAGGGGGAGATCCTGTTTTGCTGTTGGACAGATATGCTGGAAGATGCTTCCTGTAGCACACTAAATCAGAGCAGGATTTGGGTGTACCTGAGGGCTGTAAGTCTAAAAATTGAGGTGCACATCCTTGTATCATGCAAAGTTATGCACATTGAGGAGCATAACTTTAACATTTGGTGAATTAATTGATACACTCTAGTCCTGGCTTACTATGGAAAGTCCACTCTTGGAAATAACGTGTATGTCAGTGTGTTACATTGAATACAGCATTTTAATGGTGAGTCAGTGGCCTTCTGTAGAGTTGTCTGTTCACACACACCCTAATGAGTTTGTCAGAACTCACTGAGTTTGTTCAGATGTTTCCACAGAACTTGCTCATGTGACAGTTACCTGTAGTGTTGCTATCGTAGAGAGGAGGAGTTGTGCTGGTGTGACAATACTGACTCATGCAACACAAGCGAGGATGGCTTTACTAAGAGAGCAATGTTCTTGCAGCAGGCTGTAAATGAAAGCTCTTGATTAGTAGCAGGGTTGCACTTGGATGACATGTTAGGATTGCAGATAGCTTTGCTATGAAGGAGGTGGGAATATAATGAGGAAAATGCATGGGAAATGTTCTACATTCAGTTCTGTTACTAAGGCAAATTTGGGGTTTTGGATTGTTTTCCATGGCTGTTTAGACTTAATAGGTATATCTTAAAATCTCGTTACAGTTACTTCTGTTTGTTGCAGAGACACCTAGCTAGGAAGGTATCTCTTCAACTGGTTATTCCCCTTCTACCAGTTGATACCATGAGGTGGACATCTACTTACATGGGTGTGTGTGTCTTTTATTTAGGCTGCTAGGAGCTCTATAAACTGTTTCTCTTATTACGAGCTTCTCTTGCCTCTAGTAGCCTTTAGTGTTCCACTGGTGAAGATAAATGACTTCCTTACAATACTGAGGTTTCCTCTGGCTCCCTCTTGTTTTTGTTGGTGTTGACTTTATTTAAAGAAATTGAGAAGGCAGGGGAAAAATAACACAAAAGCATCATCAGTGACTTTGAGGGAGTTTTGAAGGAAACTAACGGCAGTTTATGATGACTCTGCACTTGAATGATGCTGCCAGGCAAAGAAGTAACTCTTAAGCTACAAGGAGACATCCTCATTGAGTAAAGAGCCTCTGAATGTGTTTTTTATAGTCATGTTTTAGTTGAAGGATTTTTTCACTCTAAAGAAACAGATGGAGGAGCCTCTACTTGGCACTGGTGAATCCACACCTTGAATACTGTGTGCAGTTTCGGTCCCCTCACTACAAAAAGGGCACTGAGGTGCTGGAGTGTGTCCAAAGACAGGCAACAAAGGTGGTGAAGGGTCAGGAGAAAAAGTGTTATTAAGAGCGGCTGAGGGAACTGGGATTGTTTAGTCTGGAGAAAAGAAGGTTGAGGGAAGACCTCCTCGCTTTCTACCATGTTGTGGTTTGGGCCCAACATGACAACAAAGGAACAGCCCCATGGCTGCTCACTCAACTTCCCCCCCCCACACACACACTCTGGGATGAGGAGGACAAAGTTCATGGGTCGAGACAAAGGACAAAAAAGGGTTTAGAGTCGGTTCACAGGCTGGTGGTTCCAGCCGCATCGTCCTTGTCAGGAAGAAGGATTCCTTGCAGTCCTTCCCTGCTTCCCCATGGGGTCCCTCCCATGGGAGAGAGTCCTCCATGAATCTCTCCTTCATGAGTCCTTCCCACGAGGTCCAGAGCTGCTCCAGCCTGGGCTTCCCACAGAGTCAGGGGCTGCTTCGGGAACAAACTCCCCTGGCACCGGGGTCTTCCAAAGCTGCGCAGAGTCCACTGGCAGCAAATCCTCTGGCCACAAAATCCAAGTCCAGTGGCCAAGTTCACACCTTCTGGTGCCTTCAGGGAATGTTCCACCACGTTCCTCCACGAGTGCAGGGGCACAGCTGCCATCTCTGGGTTACACTGGCAGCAAATCCTCTGGCCACAAAATCCAAGTCCAGTGGCCAAGTTCACACCTTCTGGTGCCATCAGGGAATATTCCACCACGTTCCTCCATGAGTGCAGGGGCACAGCTGCCATCTCACCATGGGTTGCAGGGAAACTTCTGCTTGGGCACCTTCTGCCCCTTCTTCCTCACCAACCACCGGTACCGCTGTCCTTCTCCAGTACAGCTCTACTCCCCCCAGGGCTTCTCTGCTCAGGTGTTAGGTGAGCTCTTTCATATGTTAATCACAGAGGTACATCTGTTGCCCTTCTAATGGCTCCTTGGCTGGGTTTGGAGCAGGGGAAGCTTCTCAGCTTCTTACTGGAGTCCCTCCTGGTGCCCTTCTGCCTCTACCAAAATAACCACCAAGCCAACAGAACATACCAGTACCTGAAAGGAGGCTGTAGTGAGGTGGAGGTTGGTTTCTTCTCCCAGGTACCAAGCAATAGGACAAGAGGAAATGGCCTGAAGTTGTGCCAAGGGAAATTTTGTATTGGATATTAGGAGAATTTTCTTTATTGAAAGAGTTGTCAGGCACTGGACCAAGTTGCTCAGGGAAGTGGTTGATTTACCATCCCTGGAGGTACGTACCTGTGGTGTCTAGGGACATAGCTTTGGGATGGACATGATAGTGCTAGGTTAAGGGTTGGACTTGATGATCTTAAAGAACCTTTCCAAAAAATATAATTCCATAATTATTTGAAGGTGTGCAGAAAACCACTGAACAGGGTTTGGTATTTATACCTGTGTGCTCTGATTCCCTATCTGTTCGCTGCTGGACACACAAGTATTTAGACACTGCTTAGGAATCCTCATATGGATAGTGCCATGTGCTGTCATCTTTTATGTGACTGCTAATTGCTTTGTAGCTCAAAGCCGAAATAATGTTCGTTGTCATTAAAAAATTAACTCTTTGTACTCCTAAAACAAGGAAGTGGACAGATCTGAATCCATTGTGCCTGTTAGGCTTTCTGAAAACATACGGATCTTCCTTTGGGTTTCACTATGTGATCAGTTATGGAAATGAGACATCTGTGATTAGCACATGGATCTGTCAATTTTCACAGGTTAACGATCAAATTATCATGGAGCTTCAATGGTTGCAACATCATTAAGGTCTGGAGTTGTACCTGCTTAAATTTGTAGTGAAATAGGTGCTAAATTCTTAGCAGATCAGGTAGTCTATGCATTGGTCTTGGTACACTATATAACAGGGCAATATATAGCATGACACAGAGCGGAGCATTGCGGTCTGTATAGCATTTATGGTTTATAGTGGGCAGTGCACCTTCGTTTCACGAAATGTGATTTGCTTGGCTCAAAACATCAAGATGCAGATTTTAAATCAGTGAGTCCTAAGTGCCTTACTACCTCTTAAATACGTGCCTGCAAATCTCTACTTTCTACTTCTCCTGTAAATGAGCAAGAATGTATCTTCTTTGGGAAGTTTCATCCTCAGCTCCCCCTGCATTGTCTGGATTTTAGTTACACGCCCTGTCGGGTGTAAATCTAGCAAAGATTGAATCCCTCTGGAGAAGACAAATCCCAGATTATAACGCAGGTTCCAAGTCTGTAATGCTAAAGCCACAACATAGCACCACATTTATTAGATAGTCCTCACTTTTTATAAAGGAAAATGTTAGAGGAGTTTATAACAAATGCAAGCTGAAAATCATTAATTTTTCCCCCCATGTGGAAGCACTAGCTGTTCTTGGTGAAAAATCTGACACTCTATAGGTTAAATTATTTAGGTTTTTTACTTGCTGCAGGAACATTTTCCCTCTCTCCTCTGTAAGGTGAAATGCCATAGAAACTTAAGATCCTGAAGTATCACAGGCTCTTTCTAAAAGATGCAGGGTCTGTGGCTGGCCCCTACAAAGAAAAACTGTTTTGTTGCATACTGGATTGTCTATGCAGATCTTACTGGAAGTTATTATCATGCCATGCCATGTTCTAAACAGGGACAAAACAACAAAGTGCACACTGGATTTTATCAGCACTCCAGACTGCTTGATCCAGTCTGAAACTGGTTTAAGATTATCTCACATAAACTGTAAAATTTGGAAGAATAGCAATGTTACTAACACGTTCACTAGGCTGGTAAGTTGTGGGTTGTTTTTCTTTTTGTTTGTTTTTTATTTTTTTTTTAATAAGAAACATTTATTCTTACTTCAGCTTGAAGAGGAAGAAGCTGTATCAAATTTTCATTTTTTATTTTTTCTTTTCTGGAATGTAGGTCTACAACATCAGGACAAGAGCAAGGAAACTACTTGGTTCTGAAGTTCAGCTAAATTAAGACCAGCTAGAGCTGGAGTGAACGCAGCCGGGCGGGCGATGTAACCGTTGTTGACTCCTGCATGGGGCAAAGAACACACATGAAGATGAAGAGCCAACCATTCTGGTTTTGCTATTGAGCCTTTTGTTTGTAAGGCCATTTATGGGTCCCACAGTGTTGGAAAAAAACAAAAAAACTATTTTTTCTCTATTTCCTCATCTGAGCCTGCTGCAGCGGGGCAACCTAACTCCTTTCTGCTCCTTTAACAGTGTTTTGGTTTGTTCAGCTTGATATTTTATGGACAGTCTCAGTTGTCAGGAAGAAGACACAACTACAGTGCGCCTCCTTTCAGGAATACAGTATTTTGTAGCTCTTTGTGCATCTATTTTTGTAGAAATACAGAAAGTTTGGGTAAGGATTGATGGGCTATTTTAGGATGATGTATTTTTTAAAAAAAATTGTAAAATTGTTAAGTTCTGTTTAAAGAACTTGCTCTCAGAGAAGCACTGGCAAAAATGTATAAAATGCTGGGTTTAGGTGTCTATGATATGTTTGTGCATTTTGGTTTTTTGTTTTGTTACCTCAAATGTCTGTTTTCCTTTCTTTTTAAAGAGCTAAACCTTCCTTGTTTCTACCTTTACTAGATTTTGATGCTTTTGTCCTTTTTTTTCTAGCTTCAGCAAGTGTAATTCGCACCTAAAGTTTCAACCAAATATTTTTCCTGCTGGTGTTAGATTGTAATAATGTTTTTTTTATTATTATTTTCTTGCTTCTAAAGGTGGCTTTGTGCTGTGCTGATTGTCAGAAGCTTGCAAACACCTTTAGCATGGAGCAAAGCCTGGGGTTACAGGAACTGCATTTCCAACCCATCCATTTCAAAATGGACCAAATACTCTTCTGGATTTAAATCTTACATGAGTTTGGGCCTTATCCATGATCCACTGAAGCTGTTGAACAGAGTCCCCTATGGGTTATATTTCAGGCCCTCAGAGTGCTCGTATACTCATGAGGCAGGACTTTCAGCTAAGCCATTTTCAGGGTGGTAACTTACAACATCAATGTTCAGGAAAGAAATGTCAGTTTCATAAAATTGTGTAACTTGTGGATACAACATGTTTTCAACTAGTCTGACCTGTCTGCTGAGCACCTCAAGGAAAGCACTGAAATTTTCAACTCCTGTTGACTTAAAAATCTGTTTGTCTAACCTATGATCTGCTGTGGGCCTTATGAGACCCCAGCTGCAGCTCTTGAATTTCATAAGAACTTGCACGTGCTCAGAGTGCACAAATTCAGGCTTGGCTGCTGTCTGGGTAAGAATCTGAACTTGGAAACGACATGGCCACGTGTAGCCACAGTGCTCTGCAAGGGGAAACCCCATTTCTGGCCTGAGCCTTGGGTCTGACTTGTATAATAAGAACTTTAGCTGCAGCCAAGGTGAGCGCAATGCAATCCTGATTAAGGGATGCAAGATGACCCTGGGCAGCCCCAGCCCCATGATGAGCTACAGCCAGGTCAGCCCCCAGGCCGAGCCCTAGTGTCCACAGTGTGAGGGTCAGCAGGTGCATAGGTGGGGCTGAGTCCAGTATTGGGGCTGTGGTTGCCAGACCCTCAGTGTTGCTTGGAGATTTTGCCTTTGCTCTGTGCACCCAGGGTCTCTCTGTAAGACTTCCCAAAGCTCTTATAACCTATTGTATTTCTGTTACCACTGTTTTCAGACATCCCTGCCTGAAAGACAAATCAGCTAAATGGAAACCAAGACATAAATGTGTGGCTGATATAAGAAACAGTTTAATTTTAAGGCAACGAGCATTGCAAATGTAGGTTTGTCAGGTGGAGACCACATGGATCTGGGTGTGAAAGGGGAGGGAGAGTGTTGGGATCTGCATGCCACTCCAAGGTTCAGCCCTCTCTCCCTGCACTGCTGCTTCTCTCTGGGCTTTTTGAACTTTCTTCTATGAGGTGTTGAACATTCTCCCTTGCCACATGAGAGGGCTTGACATGCTGGCACTGGATGCATTAAGATAACGTCACAATTTGGCAAGACCCTTAAGTGTGTACCTTGCTGATTTGAAGTTTGAGACAGAGTAAAAGTGCTGAACAGACTACACTTAAGTATTACTTTAAAATAGTAGGGTTATAGTTTCTGTGTTAGTAGGCTGAATTAAATATGGTGGGTTGTTGTTTTTTTTTCCCTCATCTTTATAGTCCATTTCTTTCTGTTAGATTTCATTCTCATGATAGTTCTATATAATGCTGCTCTGGCAGAGCTAACTCCTCAAATTGTCAGTGAACTTCAAATATAATGGGAAAACTGTATGGGAGAGAACATAGTTGCCACAGTTCACTTTCTTATCAGAACAGTATGGTTTAAGAAATATCTTGAGCAAGAGTTCTTAGGAATTCTGACAGTGTTAGAAATACCGTGTGGAAAGAAGTGCCAAGCTTTTTTTTTTTTTTAAATTTTCTGGACTTGGCAAAGCTGGAAGTCGGGTGATATATCCTCTTTGAACTTTAGTTCTGGAGTTTGGGTGTTGGGGAGGAGCAATAGAAAAGGTAAAATTTATTTTTGTGGTGTAGTATATTTGACTTCCCTAAATATTTTAAAGCCTAGAAAAAGCAGTCAGTTCATTACCTTTCGCTTTGTAAGTTCAGATGATGAGGTACCTCCTCCTGTTCCCTGCAGGTGTCAAAGCAGAATAGAAACAGGAAAAAAACAGGCCTGCAGTTTGCACTGGAATCCTTTCTGGATTGTTTTGTTGGCTTGATGGGTAGTGGGGATGAATATGTGGTGAAGCTATTGCCTCTTTCACCTCAAGGACTACTGTTACGTGCCCCATTTCCACTGCTAAACTTGTGAGTGTGCTGAAGGAACTTCTGGTGCTCTGCAGGCTCTGGGAGACAAGTGCCACTAAAAACCTGCTGTCATCTATAGCCATTCATGCACTAGCCAATCGACTTTGAAAGTCAAGTTTATTTTTTTTCCTCAGTCACTAGCCATGTCTCATACTAACAGGAGAGTTGAAAGTAAAAGCGTAAGTAGCAGTAGCCTTACTTGTATGTTATACCATTTGAAGGATGGGAAAGAAAAAAATCCTTCCCCGTGACAAACATTTAAGTTAAATTAAGCAGATTTACTTCTCTCTCTGTCTCATACACGCACACTTACACACACGCACAAATGTGTTTATGAGAAGCAGATGCTGTAATGGTTTTGTTCTTGGAAGAGGAGGGGAGTGCTTGCTCGCAATGTTGCAGTTACAGAGAATTGATGGCAATGAAAAAGGAACAGAAATGTTAAGACTGCTCATGTTTCCACAGATATGAAAAAAAGGCCCTTAAAATCAGGTCACAGACAAGTTATGGGTCTTAACACATTGCTAAAGGAGTTGTTTCATTCTTTTCATGTTTGGTGAGTTCAGATGCTATCCCAAGAAAGTGGATGATTCATTTTGCAAGGACTTACAAAACATGATGTACTCTGTCACTATTTTTGGGAGGACATGGGGAAATTATTTTATTTCAAAAAAATCTAAATACTAAATACTCCATAAAGTTGTCCAGGATTTAATTTTATTTCTGTTGATGTTAAGAAATCTGCTGTCAATTTTTGTGTCTTCATTTGAAGACTGAGCTGTCCTCTGGTTTTTGAGAAGCAGATAACAGTTTGTTTCCATTGGACATTTCCATCCCAACAAAATGGAGTGGTGTAGCTGCTGACCACTCAACAGATATGATTTCTGGAGAGCTGAATAAGCTACGCTTGCCAATAGAAAATTGCACTTTGTTTTGATTCCTCCCCTCAGCAGACAGTCAAATTCAGTCATCAGTTTATCTGATACTTCTTTCACAATGTCAAGATCTTCAGTGAACGGCAGTTTTTTCTCAGTCATCTATTTCTGCCTCAAAACATGCTTTGGAGGATGAATCTCTCATCACAGCTTTCAGAGGGAGCAGAGGCTGCAGGAGAGGAATGTCATGTTTCCCACCACCTGCACTTAGGATCAACTTGCCTGTACCCAGCCTTTCTGCTTCCAGGCTATTGTGTATGTTTTACTCTCCTCCCACAATCCTTTATGTATCTATTCATATACATATTTACACACACACATAGAGCTATTCCTGGATCCTTCCATTCCACCCTCATTCTTGAAATTCATGTCCTTTGGGAACGAAGTGAATGACATCACTAAATCTCATCTGAGACTGAGAAAATGTAGGCATTTTATTGCATGTTCTGTAACCTCAGGAGTGAATGGAATTTTTCCATAAATTTAAAAAACCTAAACCAAACAACAAGAAAAAAAAACCTTTGAAAGCCCCTGATTGTTGTATCTGTAAAGATGACCATGGAGTCAACAGAGTTATGTAGAGAGATGCAACATACTGCCTTTCAGGAGACAAGCATATCTTCTTGAGTATGATTCTTTTGGTGAATTTCAGGTACAAGCTTTTTCTCCATATCAATGGACCAGCAACATATATTTCTTATAAATTATTTAGAAATATATATATTTTTCAGATTGACTTTTGGGCTTTAATATGTTAACCTTTGATCTTTTAAAGGGTATCTGGATGATAATTATTGTTTGTGTGTGGATTTCTAAAAAAAAGTTTATGCATGTTGTTTGGAATTAAAATCTCATGTAAAGCGGGAATGTATTTAAAAATAAATACTAGTTTTACATGTTAGCCCTATGGGCAAAATCTGACACTTGTGAGGCAGGAAGGTGTCTCTTTAAAGACTAAGGGACTCTTGCCTGAGTACAGTTAAAATCCAGTCCCTGTGACAGGAGAAGCAGAAGCAATCTTCTTGCAAAGGTTGAGCTGGTGGATCTGTGAGCAGAGATGATCGTCTCTAGCGTTGTATGTAGATGGTCAGACACTCACTGCTCAACATACTAAAATTAGACTGTGTTGGCAGGTTTATACTTGCCCCATCTTATGGAGTGAACTGGTTGCCAAGGGAGACCGGAGATGTCCCTGGAAACTTGTGTTTTAGCTGCCCTTGTTCTGCACAGTGATCATGTCTCTCTCCCTGTTCATGCTCTGTGGTCTCTATAATACCACAGTGAGACCTGAGAAAGCTGGGCTGGAGTTGTCTGTGAAATGCAGGATGATTTTCGCTCCAAATAAAAGTAGTTTAAGGATGGGGTAATTAAAACATCACAGTTATCTTATGCACCTGCCCAAAGGCTCAAGCCTTCAAGATAGATCAACTGTGCCTCATTCATGATGGCCATTTATGTACGGGAGCCTAAATACTGCTTCCTTCCTTTGCTGTCCTTGGAAACCTTTGATGGTATTAAGATCATTGGGACCAGCTTTGAATGCCTGAATTGCAATCCAGTGGTGGCCTTGTGTCTGGTCCAGCACTGGTCAACATCAGCTGGAGTCAGCGTTGATTTCAGTGAGCTTGGGCTCAGGTAGCTATTACCTACTATAGCAGTTGAGGTTTACAGTAATCTAGTAAAGTTTCTGCAGAACTGTGCTGCACTTTCCCTGTTAGCTGTTTGTAGCTGTTGTTAAAAA